GCGAACCAACAGAATGCTTTACACAAATAAGTCAAAATTTTCAAACATAAGTAAACTATGATAACTTTTTAAAATTGTTATTTTTATTAATATAATTGTAAAAAACTCAGCATAGTACATTGAATAAATTTTTTATTTAAAATATTTTATATAATATATTTAAATAATAAATTAATTTTAATAAATTTATATAACGTACCTTATTGTATTTAACTAATCTATATATTTATTATCATGCTTATGATTTTTTTTTTAATTTCATATTTTTTTTGTTAAAATAAATAAAGGAAGAATAGATCCTTCGACTGGGGTTGGGTGCCGACACTACCTTTTTCGGTGTCAACACTTATGCTTGGTCTCCAAATCAACTCCAAATCCGAGCAGCCCAATTAATTTTCTGACGCATCAGCAATTTAATGGGCTCCACAGATGAAATTTATTTGTCCCGTCAGCATTGATGTCCAATTAATTTTTAAATAGTAAAATTAAAAAGGTCACATCATTGCATAATTTTTTTTTAAATGATAACTTTAATTAGTTAAATAAAAAAATAATATTTTTAATTAAAAAAATTTTAAAAAGCGATGTAATTATATATGAAAAATCTCCACCTGAGAGGGTAATCTCCCAGCTGCAATTAATTTTTAAATAGTAAAATTAAAAAGGTCACATCATTGCATAATTTTTTTAAAAATGATAACTTTAATTAGTTAAATAAAAAAATTATATTTTTAATTAAAAAAATTTTAAAAAGCGATGTAATTATATATGAAAAATCTCCACCTGAGAGGGTAATCTCCCAGCTGCAATGACGGAAATTCCACTTCCTCAAATTACCACAATTAGGTATTCTTAATTATTGAGATTGGCATGGTTTACAATATTTTGCTTTAGCAAATTAACCCCAAACTCAAAGAGGCACATTGTTTGTTTTCTCATTTGAATCTTTAATTTCTAACTCATAATGATATACAGGGATGCTGGCAATGTCAATAATACTGTTCCATCACACCATTTAATTGTTAATTTTCACTCTTTAGTTTCAAGCATCCCAAAAGGAGTTACAAACTTACGGTATCAATCAGTATCACAGTTTAAAAAAAAATGAAAAAAGAAAAAAAAAATAAAAATTGAAGACTAAAAACAGAAAATCAAAAGGGGAAAGGAAAAAATGAACTAGGAATTCAATTTTCCAGTTCAAGAAAGAAAAAGGAAAAATGTCCTGTTTCCGTTCTGAGAATAAATTATATCGAATGTATAGAGTAGTCAATTGAATTACAAATTATCAAGATAGAGCCAATGAAAAGAACATAAAACGGTTTTAAAAAATAATCATAATTAATATATGTACTTGAAACTGTGAAATGATAAATCGACTATTTGAGTTTAATGGTTCATTCTTAAATTTTAGTATTTAAATTAAATTAGTTAAAAATTTAAATTTTATTAATTACTAGAATATTGACCCTTGACCTACTTCTCCCAACCCATAAATTGAACTCATTCTCTTTTCCTTTTTCTTAAATTATCCTTGTTCAATAAAAAAGAAAAGGATAAATACAAATAATTCTTAATTTATTACTTAATATCTTAAGGGGTTGATGTTTATTTGCTTTATTTTTTAAAAATAAAAAAATTTATGTTAAAATTATATTATTTTAATAAAATATCA